AGTTTCCAGAGTGCAACGCGCGCCGTGTTGCATGCAGGGCTTTATGGAAGTAGTCTATTTCGCTACTTCTAACGCGTTAGTTCCAACACTGAATGTAATATAAAGTACTATGCGCCAGGCGTTTCTTAAAAAAATAAAAATACGCTACTGCTGCCTGACTCAGATTCCGCTTATAGCTTTTGTATTGAGAACAGCGTTTCTAAGTTTATATATTTTGTGATGATTTTCTAAACTCATCACCGGTGGTGATATTTTGTAAAATTCAAATTTCTTATGTAATTCCTGTGATGGGAATAATGTTAAAGCAATTAACCATCTAAATACCCCAAAACCCAAGAAAATACGCGCACTTCAATAGTTTAGATGACAATTATCCGAGCGAACAAAGGCAGCAAGGGCACAGAAATGTCAGGACTGATTTTTTCAACAAATACGATATTCCATGTTACTTCTAAGTTATATCAAACAACTTAGAGGCAACATAGTATATCTTATTGTTCGAAAAAAGCAGTCCTGATATTCGTGTGTCTTTCCATGAAAGACCCTGTCATTAAAGGGACACTGCACTCCCCAAAACATTTAGTAGTGCCTGGATCGGACATGTACGTTTTTAAATATAGTTTTCGCGAACAATTTGTTTAGCGAAACTACGCAGTAAGACACTCCTTGAATTAGAAAAAAAGGTGAAATTAACAGCTATGTTGAAAAATTCAATCGAAGCTCGAAGTTATTTCCGGTTTCGATTTGTTTTCAGAATGAAGTGACTTGCGCTCATAACACAGTAGCTTCATCGTAAAAGCAGGAATAATTTGCGTCGCCGATTTAAGCGAGCACTCGCACCTGTTATACCCGGCACGCATCTCCGACACTAACTGTAACCGCCATTTCGGAAGGCGAGTTGCGCCACCTATGGTGAGTTCGAGTCGAGAAGAGCAGAGCGATGTTTTCGCGCATAGCGGAACTTCCGCCATTCAGAGTAGGACGGCGACGTAGAGAAGCTCTATTTCGAGGTCAGCGTCCCGGTGATGTCAACATAGAAGCCAATTTATAAGTTCTCTAATCGGAGGAAGGAAGCCCGGATTGGAGCCTGATCTCTTAGTACGTCCCTCTGTGTGCTGGCAAAAGGCGCGAGAAAGATAAGTCGACATAACTTATTTTAAGAGTTGTATCGAATTTGTCTTTGGGGCATCGATATTGCATTAATTCGCATTAGATCATAAACTACGTTTTAAACGAACCCGTTTATTCCTGAGAGTAGCCTGTTTGCCGTCCGTCCGTCCTTCAAGTTTAGCAGGGGAAATTATGTCACATAACGTCAGGGTATCACCTTATACCATGGCTTGACTCCGTGATGTCACTCGCCTTGTGATTTCAGATCACCTGACTCATAGTATCGCGGGTGACTACAGCTTGAACTTGGGACGTTAATGTCCATGATAACATGATTGGGGAAATTGGCGTCACGTGCAACGACCGAGTGTCGCGTCAAGTCCCTTAATTCCGTGATGTACTGCGTACCTAGATCTGCGTGATATCATTACATTACATGTCGTCAAGTATTGTGACCTAAATTCCACCTCTAAAATTAGCACGAAAATTTATAACAAGCCACTTTACTTCACTCTCCAAAACAAATGTTTCATGTCTTCTAAATAAATTTTAACAGTCGCTCCTTGAATACCGCGTTTCAAGCATTATACAACATGAGTAAAAAGGAGCGTTGGATATTTGTATATATCGCATACATCGGTTTCTAAACTATCAAGCTAAGACTTGGCACATAGGTGGCCTATGAATGTACAATAAGTGCACCAAATTTTCTCTGAACGAAGGTACTTGAGTAACGGTTTAGAAATATAACAATGGGAATTACCTTTTACGGCGTCCGTCTGTTTACGAAAGGCATCTGCTTAACGCAACAGTCCACATACGTTGACTGTACTCTCCGCGCCGACAAGTGGGAGTGGGGGGTGAAAGCACCGAGTATCGCCTTTTGTACTGCCAGCATCGCTGACGACACCAGTGCTATCGGTGCCATTGAAAGTTTCCGTCACCCAGCGCGGGATTGTCGGGAGCTGGGAGGTCGGAGCCGAAACTTCGCCCGAAAATGTCTACAGAAGTCTTTTGTCATCTGGCGCTATAAGTGCCACAAAACGTTCACTCGCTCATTTAGAGCTAAGCACCTTGAAGATGCGTTACGTCCCAAAACAAACCGGATGAATGTTGCTTATAAGAAAATACGCGGTAACAACGAGAGAGTGCATAGCAGACGAGGACGTGTTGCCAAAAGTAATTGATAAAATCGAGACCGCCATATTTCGTTTGCTCTCTTCTCGAGTTTAGAAGTTTATTTTATTGTAAATTTTATATTATAAATAAAATTTGCACTTATAGCTGCCACAAAAAAGAGTGCATCACTTCTCCCTTAGAAACATCACGCTATTTACTACATCGATAAACGCGCCTGTTCAGGACGCCTTCCATTTTACTTGCCGCCCTTTGTTGCGCCAACCAGACGCCTTTTCGGAATTAGACGGACACCTTAGGTAGTTCTAACGTTCTTGATTACTACTTTTTACTCAGGTAAGCGTGTTGAGTGAAACTTGGTGCACCAAAATGTGTACTCTGGCGTTTTCCTTCACAGTTCCCGATTTTCCTGAAAATATTCAAAACACACCAACCCCCATCGCTGAAATAGTAATCCAAATATTGAAACCAGCTTTCTTTTTTTTTCTCACGGTGTTACTTGATTTATAATTTTGGTCCTCACCGTGTTCTTCGAAGTAAAAATATCTACCGACAACAATAAAAAACTGACGACAACGGATGGCAGGGGTTCAAAATTTAGGCCGTAGACTTCGTTTCCAAAGAATTACAATCAGTTTCATGGTGTCAAATGAACGTTATGAAAGCTCGCTCCTGCACCCACTCAGAAGCAGAAGACAAATGCTCGGCATTGTTCAATTTTAGATTGCCCGCTGGACCTGCAAGTCCGCCTTTCACTGATTTCACGGCACTCAGAAACCACCAGTATATTTAAATTTTGGTATTGGCATCATTTTCAATAGCTGATTTCACAAATCCTAGTACGAATTTAGTGATACCGAATAGACTAACGTAAATGTTAAGGCAGGTGATTTCTAAGAAATAGTCGCTTGAGGCAGTTCGAAAAATCGCCGGAGTGGTACCCCTCTAGAGGGGCTGCACAAATATATTGCAGGAGAATATTTCTCAATTTACACCAGCTTACTCGCACAATTGGGACCCAAAAATACTCGAGGGCAACGCCACAGACCATGAAGCGTCTTTTTCTCGGTTGGATTTCAAGGACAAGAGCGGAGCTTGCCTCTCAGTCTGTCCTTTGCAAAAATTGATGGCGAAGCTACGTGCACAACGCCATTGATACGATTCCGGGGTGTGCGTAAACAGGCTTTGCGCCTCGCTGTGACGATATTTTAATGCGGCTCACACTGTGGACACGAGCACTGCGTAGGCATTCGATTTGGCTCATGACAATTGATGCCCCGACATACATTCGGGTAGTGGCTCCTGCCCAACAGCAGAGATGACGGAAATAGCCGAACCTTAACAATGTCTGGAACTCAGTTCGCAACCTGTGCTTTGCAAACCCCAGCGCGTATGTTAACGACAATGGCAGCCTATAATCAGCTCCGTATAACGAGGCCGCCTTTTTTTAGGCTGCGAGTTGAGGGGGTAAAAGGTATTTGCTTTTGTGGGATTTTGTCTGCGACTACCAATACGGGAATAAAGAAAAAACACACAAAAAAAAAACTGTTTCCTAGGTTATAAATGACATAGTGTTAATTCTAAGTTGTATTTATTGACAGTACCGAAATTGTTAATTGTTCCAGCCACTCCCCCTAACAAGCTTCATGTTGAAGCAAAGATATGAGCTCCAAAACATCGTTGCCTTTCACCTTTAATGCACATTCGTCTGCCGACTCTATAGGAAATCTTAGTTCGATACGTAAAGAAATTGACTTATGCGGTTTTTTCAGACATCCAGTAATCTTTTTGACTCACGCTTTAATACTTTGAAGATAATGATCAGTGGTAATTTGTGTTTTGTAAAACGCACTTTGATAACACTTAAGGCTCTGTTATACTCCGACGTAACGCGTGCGCGCGTGCGAGCGCGTCACAGCGACGTCACGTCGGCGGAAACCCGACGCCCTATACTCCGGCGCCGTAGCGTAACCGGCGCGACCGGCGGCGTTCGACGCAGCCTGACCGCCTCGACGCCAAAATGGAGCATGCCGTATTCCGCGCCAGCCGCGCCGGCGACGCCGGACCAGGACGCATCACGCGCTGGCTCCCGGCAGCCCTCGCGCGGGAAGCGCGGCGAATACGAGCAATAGCAGACGACAGGAGCACCACTCCGTGTGGCGTCATGTTTGAAGAATCGGACTCGGTCGTCGAGAAGCTCATCGAAAGAATTCGTCCTCACCCGTGTGTCTACGATACGAAGAAGATGGAGTACCGTAGACCGTGCGCTTGTCAAAGATGTACCGTATGTACATTGACCACCTACGCTTGCGGCGCATGTGGTGTACCAACAGTGCAAGCGCGAGTTTTCGTCGTGCAAGGTACGTCCACGCCATCGCTCGAACTTGGCGCTCAAGAAGCGCTAGAATTTTCGTCTGCTAGTCGAAACGAAAAGGAACCGGAAGTAACTACTCTCACAGGAAACGTGCCCTCGCAGTCAGATTCTGCGCATGCGCCACGCCGGCGGTCCACCGAAGCACAGCCGCGGGAGTCGCCAGGGCCGCCGGAGTATAAAGAGGGCGAATTTTTGACGCGCGCGGCGTGATTGACGTGACGTAGCCGACTTCGGCCGGCGTTCGCCTGCGCGCGCGTTACGTCGGAGTATAACAGAGCCTTTAGATAACTGCTCTGTTGAAACAGTCTCAAGATATGCCTTATTGCGATGGCCGTGTCTCTTTAACCGCGCTGATACTGCACTGTATGGTTTTTCGCAGCTTTACCCGAGGAGGGCCCAAAAATAAAAGGGGCTCAGACGCATTACGACATAGGCGACACCGTTGGCGTCAACTGCTTTGCTCCCGCGTCCAAGCCAGGGGTCAATTTTAGGTGGTTCCTCAACGATCTTCCTGCGGAGCCGCCGAAATTCGACATCACCAACTTGGCAACTCTGCACGACGATGGGCTCGAGTCCTCCGCCAGCAGAATCCGCTTCGTCATCAGCGAGGACCAATTCGCCAAAGGAACCGCGTCGATCAGATGCGTCGCCGAGATTCCCGGCATGTATATGAGGGCCTATCAGACGATCATCTGGCGAAGATCCGCCGGTGTCGGCACGACAGCCCCAATTAAGGCTACTGATGATGACTGTCTCAAGAAGTTGATCTCGGTAATTAGAAAAGTATGGACTACTTATCAGTGAACCCTAATTTACTCTAATCCTCTTCCTCGCATATGTAACATTAAGATGGCGCATTTACCGGTTTGCTTTTAATGTGACATGCAACTCTGGGTTAATGGAAGAGCTATCTCCTTTTAAGTGATATAATAAACATTGAAGGTAAAATGCAATTTACATGCTCGTAGCTGGGTTCGAAAGTGATCTGGGTTTTATCTCAGTACTGTCAATTTTAAACTGTCTTTTTTCACTTTAAGCCTCACAGGCAAAGTCTTTGGTTTGACGCAATGTTCCATAAACGTGTGCGAGTGTTCTGTTTGTGACCCGACACAAATAAGAACGTTCAAGCAAGCAGCAAGGGCATCGATCGTCGCCGATGTCGGTTTGGGACATATGCGATTACTCAAAATATTATCTCATTTTGGTTTTTGAGAATTATGACACGGTTACGTCTCGTTCACATCTGTGGTCGTCTTTATAACTCCTTTACCGTTAGACAGCTGAGCATCAGGCAACACCTTACTAAACAAATTGTTTGAAATGCAAAAAGGATCCCAGGTATGAACCATAGACAGGTTGAAAATTTCGTTCAGTGGTATAACCTTACTGCTTACAGGTTTGACAGAAATGCTCATCGGTTTGGTGAAATTGCTCACTGGTTTGGTCAAACTGCCGACAGGTTCGAATAAAACGTTTTTCTCTGTGAACGAAGCATTATTCGAACCAGTTTACACTGCACAGCGGCCTGGCCAACCAGTTTAAAATCGTTCATTCGTTTGGTGAAAGCGGTGAGCAGATTGATCAAACCTATTAGCAGTCTGGTTATACCGCTGCTTCGTCGCCAGGTGAAAGAAAGAAAATGGGCCCGACCTCGGGAAATGTTTTTTGGGACTTGAAGCCGTTCTGGCGTGCGATGCATGCTCTTTGCCATCTACCTGCTACCGGGCTCTCGGTAAAGTACTGCAAGGTAAGTTATGTTTGCCATTGGCGTCGCTATTCTTTGTCCCCCCACGATGAACCGCAGCGGACGCTACAAGTCATCTGAGCCAATTCAGCGCAGTATACGTTTCATGTGACCACGCATCGCTTTTCATTACCCGGAGTGCCATACGTGACACTCTCACGGCTTTGGATTTACTCTGATGGCCTAAATCGTCCAATGCGGCCCTTCGTAAGGTGAAAAGGAATATAGTGTTAATATTTATTCCGTGATATTGGAGCATAAAATACCACGGATGTCTTTCCACTTGTTTGCGTCCGCGTGCGTTCCTTCGAGTGTTGCGGACAGCACGTCCAGCAAGCATATGAACCTGTTTTAGCGATTAACGTGATCTGCGGCTGGATGGCGGTTCTATGGTTCACTTCCTCGCGCAGCTCCGCGGATCGCATTTAGAGCTCTACAAGTCAAAATGAAACAATGCCGCTCCTCTCCGTGGCAAACTTGTTCCTAGAATTAAACTTGCGCAATGTGTAGCGCATATATTTATTATTTGCATATTTAATTTTTCTCTTTATATTCGCTGACGCAAGGTTGCCAAATTAAAAAGTATGAATCCCTGCATTGCATTCCCCTGTCGAAGGAAGCACTACGGGATCGTTAATTGGGTGTGCTGGGCCCATCCATTTCAGAGATTACTCATTTCGCATTAACCAAGGATTTGCCTCAGCTCCTGGATGGCATTTTTAAAATGTTGACTTATTAAACGGATGCCAATAACAAACAAGTTCCCGTATTAAGGGCAATTCAAACGCTCGTCGCGCAATGGGCGAATTTCGCTACACAAACCAGAGTTTCAGAGATGCACCAGAGGATTCATTCCTTTGGAGGTTAATTATGAAGATAGAATAAAGGTGCTACGGCCCTTAGATATTTCCTTGAGGGCGCTGGAGATTTTGAATAAAATTCAGAATTATGACCGTTTTGACTGTTTTGAGCGCGCTTTGAGGCTTTCTTTGAAAATACAAATATTTAGATGACAAACATGACACATCCATTGGCCGTGCGTACTAGGTGTGCCTAAATACTGTTGTTTTCACGCATTTCTGTGGACACAATCACCCTGTTAATTTTATTTCCAACTTGTTTAACGAGATGGCAACAGTAGTAATAAATGCCCCAACCCGGAGATTTTATTGTTTTGATGTTCTTCTCTCGAGCTCGAATTCGACAGCGATGTCTGGTTGCTCGGGGATCGGTAGCGCATCTAGCGAAAGCTCGCGCTATAAAGCCCATTGATCGTGGATTCAATCCGCCGCCCCTGCCTGTTTCAATCTGGATGAGCATCGTGCCGGCTAGCTATCATGTATAACTATTGCGTGATGCACGATAAAGGCGTTTGACAACACTGGCTTTCATATCTAATGAAGACACAGGACGCCTTCGGGGCTGAATAACCTGCCGCTTTCTAAACATACGCACAACAAAATTACAAATGATGGCTTGGTCGGCACTTTCTGAACGTTGCAAAAAACAATAACTAACGTGCCCATAAGCGATCGACCCGAGGTTCTGCAACTCTGTCGCGAAGCTGTAACACACCTGCGTTTAACTTAGACCCATTCTTCGTGATGCCTTACTGTACATCATCAGTGCCCCACATTATACGGAACTGTATTATCATTACCACCCTCTATACGGGCCTCTCCGGCATTCATTGTACGGGCTACATGCGTCTCTGTGGCGTCTGCGCTTACCAGCACAAATAAATACAAAACTACCTACAAACAAATAGTTTGGTTTTAATGCGAAAACATTAACTGTCCCATGGAGCGAGCTGACGTCATCACTTTGAAGCACGAAAATGGCACCTAGTTTCCCCGATCCCAAAGGTTCCATTTGCTGGCGCGCGTCAACGGGGCTCCCATTGGCCGCTGCGCTCGTCAGTTTCCACGACAGCTCATCCCATGGCGCTGCGTGTCCATCAGTGCGCCGTTAACACGGAGCATTCATGGTCACCGGGGGGTACGCGCGCTGACCGGCGACGAAAAGTACGCACCACACGAAAAGGGCAGCCGACGAGCGGCTTGTATGCTTTCCCATACACAAAAATTAAGAAGTGATTAGGTGTAAGTCAAGCTTTTATTCGTTACATCAGTGAGATCGGTCCAAGCAAACCAATGGTCCGAAGATAAAACAACTCACGCTATTGCGGCGCAACTACAGGAATCAGCCATCGCGATATTAGCCCGACTTCAAGGAAGAGCTCTATCCTACCAAACGTTGGTAGCGGCACTTGAAGACCGCTTTCTCGACAAACATCTACAGCACGTCCGCTATAGCGAGTTACGTTGCCGTCGGCGACAGTCGGGGGAAACACTCCAAGTCCTGGCAATGGAAGTTGAGTGCCTAGCGCGAAAATCATTCGTGGGAGTTGCCGCAGACACTTTTCACCTTCTCAACACCACTATCTTCGTCGACGCCATTGCGGACACTGAAGTTCAAAAATTTGTTTGACTTGGAGGGCCAAAGACTGTTCGAGAGGCGTTAGCCAATGCGTCAGAGATCTCAGCCATCCAAAAGGCAACAGCAAACGCCCAGGCTTCTTGCTCGGCACAGTTACAGCCAGCTACTCATTTGGAGACGCCTGGAGCACGCCAGCAACCTGAAAATCACCAACGAGTTAACAGTAAGAGGCGCTGTTTTAATGCGGACGACAGGGACACTTGGCTGCAGAGTGTAACAGCGCGTCGGGAAACGGATATCCCGGTCCACAGGGACGGGATCGGGTATAGAATACCAAATCCCCCTCGTCTCACTTTCAGAGTTTTACTAGTCTTCCAACCACCAAAGTAGATATTCAAGGAGTTGGGATCAAAGAAAGCCTCCTCGATAGTGGAGCAGTGGTTAACATAATTGACGCGACGCTTGTACCTGCCGATTGTAACGTTTCCCGGATTGCTCTACAACTTTTCACTGCCAACTGCGTCAAAGTTCACACCGGTGAACAAGTGAAGTTACTGGTCACTGCGCTCGGTGCGAAGTCGTTAGTGGATTTGTATTTTTGTCGAATTCCGTCTCTCCAATCATTCGGAGTTATGAGTGGCGCCAGAAAAATGATTTTTTTAAAGTTGAACCCCGAATAGAACAAGGCCACCAAAACCCCGCATACACCCATGGAAAGATTAGATGCCAGCATTCCACGATGCGAAAGTATTTTTGTGTGGCTTGTGTACCTCGTCACCGTGGAAAAGTGGCACCTATTTCGAAAGTTTTCTTCCAATATACCAACATCATATGTGCTCAAGCAAAACTATCGGATGACTTAAACGTATGCGTTAATGACTCTGCTACAATACCTGCCAAGACTGCTTCAAGGATACGCCTGACTGTAAACAATAAAAAGGTTTATGGTGAAGCTGTTTTCGAATCGTGGCTCTGTGCTACACCAGGGAAGGAACTAGCTGCACCCCGGATATTCGTTGCTTGTACCAATGGAGAATTCGTCGCTCTTGTCGTTAATCTAGGTGCCAACAACATCACTCTCAATCCAGGGAAATAGATTTGTGTACTCCAACCGTTGGCGGAAGACAAGATCTCAGTACTGGCGAGCATTTCTTTAGGGTCAGATAACGAGTGCCATTTTTAGTCAGGATAATTCTTTACCGTAAGAACAATTGAAGTTTGGACCAGAATTGAGTTGCGAGCAGAAAACAAATATCAAGAGAGTATTGTCACATCGACACTGCATCGCCCTGAATCCGGCCGAAGTTGGATGCACACCGTATGCAACACATACCATTGACACCGGTAACAGCCAACCAATACATCAGCCACTACGCCGCCTAGCCCCAACAGAGCTTGAAACGACCAAAGAGCTAGTGAGTGAGGTGCTCGACCACGGTGTGGTGAGTCCTCCGACGAGCCCATGGTCATCACCAGTGGTGCTAAAGAGAAAGAAAGATGGCACTGTGCGGTTTTGTGTAGATTACAGGAAGCTTAATAATACAACCGAGATCGATGTGTACCGTCTTCCACGTCTTGATGACACCCGTGACCGACTGGAGGGAGCGGAATACTTCACAAC